GTGGCGTGCGTGAACAACCTTGTTGGAGCACGTATTCAGCACCGTCAAGCTCGGTTAATTATGCACAGCTCGATTCATTAACATCATGATCCAGAGCATAGTAAATCCACTGATCTATATTGTCCATCCCTAGATAAAACTTGTCTAGACCTGTGTTGTCTCGCAATTCAAGTATGCGATCAACAAATACCATGAAATCTGCCTTGTTATCTCCATAAAAATCAAATTGCATGCTTGGGGTTATGTGAAATGAGTGTTGCCACACACTCTAGAACAACAACATACTTACGACCGTTCTAGTCGGTAAGAAGTCCAAGATGTTAACACACATCTCTTTGTTATTCTATCCATCACTCACTTGTACTACAGAAAGAAATATATTAAGAGTAAAAATCAAGTCACATCAAAAGAAATTGAGTGAAGTAATCACACTCCAATATTCTCATTGAAACAGAACAAATGACAAAAGCAAAAACTTCTTTTGATGAAAGACTATATGAAATATCTGAACTAAAGACAACCCCTAAATTTCTTGATAGTAAGTTACAGTGATAACAAACATTTTCTTTCCTTTAAACCCATGCAAGTTATTGAAAAGTCATAGCCAAATATAAATCAATTGTTTGAGACTTGCCCTCAAAAAAAAAACCAAAAATCTCTTAAACATACATCAACAAAATCAATAAAATTTGTCTGCATCGTAAAACCCAAACTGCATGTTTGAGATTTTTCAAATTTTTTTACATGAATTTTCTATTTTTTAATTAAATTAACTTTGCTGCGTAACATAAAGACATTCATATTCAAACAATAAGATGGTACGCAAGTAATTAAAAAAACGATAACATAAGTTGCAGACAAATCATAAAACTAGATCAAAGTTATTAAATAATAAAAACAAAATGGGTGGTTTTTGTGCAAAAACTCTCTAAACGATAATTTTTGCAAGTTTATTTTTAACTTGCAAAAGTTCAGTTCAAACCCACTAAACTGAATTTTAATCCGCGATGTGGCTTGATTTGTATTCATTTGGTTCAGTTAAATTTCTTTTTAAAGTTGATTTGATCAATAATTTTTAAACTTATTTTGACACCATGATCCTGAGCGTACTGAATCCACCAGATCTATATTTAACAAACCCAATAATTTATCATATTTATCAAATCAACTTTTAAAATTTAAAAACTCTAATGTATGTGACTATATTTTTTTTAATAAAAAACCAAACACACGGAAGAATTATTTTGCAAATTAAATTTGATTTTAGTGGTTTGACTTGCATTGTTTCTTTGCGAATTAAGTGTAAACTTGCAAAGATTAGAAATGCTTAGATCTGATGATACATATCAAGATATAGCTTTCAAGTTTTTTACTAGTTTCAACATTCAAGTTTCCAAGTTTTGTTTTTAAGTAGCAAGAGTCTAACCAAGAAGGAAATAAAGAAAAAATAATAATCTATACAGTTACTTCTATTCAATTGAATTTGAGTGAAATTATTAAAAATAATATGGTAATGAAACTTAAAGTTGACACATACTATTCAATTTTGTTGACCATAGTTATGCGATACATGGCTATATCAAATTTTCTAGTAATATTTTCAACATACATAAAAAAGGCAAGACTTTTGGGTGAGTGTATGTGGCACATATAGTTTTTGTATAAAAATCAGGTCAAATGATCATAATAGGACACATTAAGAAAGTCGGGGATAGAAGTAAAATTGTAGTTTAGGAAAGTATCCATTTGGTAAATACAAAAGAGTTCGCCCATATATATCTTCTCATTTCCCTCTCAACGAAGCCAGAAAAGAAAAAAAAGAAAAAGACAATTCTCTTCACCATGCACGCGCTTGGAGTGATGCAATCTTTCCGGCCGCCTCCCTCCTTCCATCCGCCGCCTCTCGCCACCGTCTCCGGTCACCGGAATTTCAAGAAGATGCTCTTCCTCCAGTTTCATCTCCTTGGTCACTCCCATCTAATGCGGTTCTATCTTGTCCTTTCCATCTCAATGTGAATTATCCCAGGCTCTTCACACTTTTTTCGATTTGCTTGCTCGTTGTTCAGTGCATTTTAACCAAAATTGATTTTTCTTTTGGTACGGTTTGGTGGCAGCGTACAGTGTGGTTGGGGCGCATCAAACAATGGAAATTGTGGCTAAGGAGAACAAAGTTACAGTCATGGACCATGTGAGAGGCACTGTTACAACAGAGGAGGTTGAAGATCCAATGGTGATTCCTAGAAGAATCTCAGACACTTGGAAACCTCAACTGATCGATGATCTCCCTGATGCCTTTTGTGGTGAGAGATTTGTGTTTAACTGGTTTTGTTTTAGTTTGAGATCATAATGATAATTAGGTCAAAACTACAAACGAGTTGAATTAGCGCTTCTTGCTAAACAACAGGTGGTTGGGTTGGTTCTTTCTCCTATCATACCGTCCGTTATGCTGAAAAAGCGAAAGCTTCCTTTCTCCAATGCTCCTGTCGATGACCGGAATCTGCCGGACATGCATCTTGGCCTTTATGATGATGTGATGGTCTTTGCTAATGTTGAAAAGGTGTTAGAGCTTTGAGGATTGTGAACCCAAGTCCCTCCATGTGTTACTTACAAGTTAGTGCTTCTCCTCTCCCTCTCACCTCTTCTTATATATCGGTTGTTTACTTTATTTTCTCTGTTTTGATGATCTATATATTCTTTACCCTGCCAGGCTAGAGGTTGTATTCTAGTAGCATCAAGTCCTGAAATTCTCACTCGAGTGAAGAAAGTAAGCATTGCCCATCTTCTCTTCTCCGGAACTCGTTGTTATATGATACTAAAACAGAGAACCTTTTGAATTTTGTAAAAAAACAGAACAAAATCGTGAACAGGCCACTAGCAGGAACTGCAAGACGGGGAAAGAGCTTCAAAGAGGATCAAATGTTGGAGAAGACACTATTAAAAGACGGAAAACAGTGTGCAGAACACATCATGCTTGTTGACTTGGGTCGCAACGATGTTGGAAAGGTTAGACAATCCTCTCTCAGGGATCAAATCAGAGGATATGATGACTATTATCAACTTCTTGTGTGTTTCTATTTATCTCTTTGTATTTTCTTACAAAGAAAACATCGAATTTGAACCTAGTGCCAATACGACCAGTTAATCTCCTCATTGTCTCTCTCTCTCTCTGGGGCCCTTTTGAAAGCAGGTATCCAAGAACGGATCAGTGAAGGTGGAAAGGCTCATGAACATAGAGCGTTATTCCCATGTCATGCATATCAGCTCAACGGTAACACAACATTTCTTGAAACATGACAAGTGACAACCATCAAACTACTGCCATTTTGTGTTTTTTTTCCTTTAAATGTAAATGCAAATTAAACGCTCATAAACATTGAACCGTATAAACAGGTGACTGGAGAGTTGCAAGAGAATCTGACTTGCTCTAAGAGACTCTTAATTAATTTGTAACAGGTGAAGGCTATGGAGTTAATCGATGAGCTAGAGGTGACCAGAAGAGGACCGTACAGTGGTGGATTCGGAAGTGTGTACTTCACCGGAGACATGGACATAGCTTTGGCACTTTAGGACCATTGTGTTCCCAACGCAAGCTCTTCACGACACAATGTACTCATACAAGGACAAAGACATGCCTCGCCGTGAGTGGATCGCTTACCTTCAAGCCGGTGCAGGGATTGTAGCAGACAGTGACCCAGAGGACGAGCACCGTGAGTGCCAGAACAAGGCTGCGGGACTCGCACGTGCCATTGACTTGGCTGAGTCTGCCTTTGTTAATAAAAAGGAATGATAGAACTTGTCTCTAGGTTTCTTAACAACAACAAAAACTATCTAGGTTTCTTGCTCTACAAGCAGCAACGTCATCATCTTAAATAAATTAATTGATAACTCATTTTGAGTAATGAATTCCCGGGTGAGTTATTAGCCATATACTGTATGATGTAAAAAATTTGTTTCTAAGTTACACATATAGTCAAATCTCATATTAAAGAAATTTATTTTAAAATTTGGATTTCACGCCCATTAAGTGTGTTGATATGTTAAAATACTGTAAGAAATTTGTTGTGGAGTTACACAAATAGTCAAATCTCATATTTCGGTATTCATTTCTACGTCGAATTTTTTTTATTTTTATTTTATTTTTCAGTTATTATCTATACGAGTCGTAACCACATATCAAGTAAACAGTAGTAAAATGTTTTGTAGATAAATTAATTATACAAAGGTTTGAATCATCCGAGTATGAATGAATGAGTACAAAAATAGATATTAAATCTTTATGATATAGTCATGTCTCTCAGGAAAGTATATAATAAAATGAAATACGTGGTAAGCTCATAAAGCTCTGTAGCAATTTCATATTTGTTTGTCACCAAAAAGGTTGTTCTAAGATATTTGCCAAATGGCTAGATATTAACGTTAAAATGATGATTGTTACTAAATACTTAATCGTTAATCCAAGTAGACGAATGAAATACCAACAAAATATAATGCAATATTAGTTAATAGAAAAGGAATTTATCCAAGGAAAATAAAGAAAGAAAAAGATTTGGAGACGTAAAAGCCTTTGGAATGGACTAAAGGTTCTTCCCACAACGTATGTAAATAAAGGTCAAGCAGACACGAAGATGATATGGACGGATCATTATAACCTTACATTATTTTCAATGCTACGTACGTACCAATAATAATTATATGTATTGTAGCCCTACCATACTATCTTTGATTGATGATTACGTTCTCATTAATTGGTCATGTGGTGGCTTTGATTGGAAATGTAATTTGCCGCTACGACCTGAGTTTTTTTTTTTTTTTGGGATAAAATACGTACGACCAAAGTTTTGTTAATTGCATGCTGTTTGTGTGTAAATTATAAGAATTCGATCATTACAATCTAAGTATTTAACCATACTAAATAAAAGAAGAACCACAAGCTGTATCGGAATATTCTCTTAACTAATAGTGTCTATTTTCTAACCCCAAAAAAAAAAAGAACTAATAGTCTATTTCAAACACATTGTGTTCTCGACGTGGTCCAGAAGAGTCAAGACTGAAGTACGACACTTATACATGTAATAGTTACGGCTGCCTTCCTCCGTATAATAGTCTTCGAGGTCAACACATCTCATACTGTTTCGCTTGGGATCATAATAATAGACACATAACCTGTGGTGAAAGAAGTAGCCGTTTAATTTGGTAAACACGATCTCACTACCACGAGTAACACCTGTGACGCGCCATTCTTGGAAGCCCTCCATCTCACAAAAGAAAATCTTGGACCATCCTTGTTTCTCCATAACCCAAATTTCCACTCCCTTCTCGCAACAAATGAACCCTAACTTCCCTTGATAATTGACCAGAGTCGAGTTGTGTTCCGTAACCGTAAGTGTTGTTGGAGCGTCGACATGATGAAATCTCTCGGACCTAACATCAAATCTAATCAATTCATGCATGCGATTATCAATCTCTTGTTGAAAGTAGACAGTCCCCTTGATGCAAACAACACCTCGAAATTTAGAGTAGGATCCAAGACCAATAGAGCTTTGGATGGTCCTCCACTTAGCATCCCCCAATGTGAAAACTTTACAACTCTCTTGCCTAGTATTTTCTGGTAGGAAAACTAATTTGTATTGATACTCGATAGGGTCGTATCCAAATAAGCAAACGCCCATCACGTAATGGGCTGTAACCTTCGGTAAGTAAAAAGACTGCCTTGTGGTAGGGTTATATATAGCTACCACATAATAAGTATCCTTATTAGCTGACCAACAACAAATCAGGCCGCGGACTGATTGATGATATTTTTTAGGGACTAATAATAATTCTTTGACAGTATGGCAAGTATTAGACGACAAGGCTAAGAAACATTTATCTGAAGGGAAGTGAGAGATGATATGCCCATCTCGCGGAGGCCTAGTCAAAGAACGAGTTACAATGGACTCTATGAAATCTCTACGGCTGCTGGTTATTGATGACCATTGCTTCGAGACACTTCGGAACCTCTTTAGAGATTTGGCCGGGAGTTTCTTGAGTATCTCCACCTTTAGATCCAGAGGAATATCGATATCTCCACCGTGACCAAGTCGTGTCGGCCATGGTGAGGTCTTTTGTTTCTTCGCTTCATGCCCTATTTCCATCACCGCTATTTTATAAAACCCTCAAGATAGCTAAGAAACGAATGTTCTTTTATTAGTATAAGATGATTCTACATACAGTTTTCCAGCAAAATACAATATATATATTATTCGTGGCTATTGGAGTAAAATAGAAATTATGCATATATAATATATGGTAATGATATATTCTGGACAAAAGGAAAACATTACCATTCAAAAATTGTAAACAGAGAAAGATTTACTTTTTTTTTCTTTGCCGATATAGTTAATGTTTACAAAATGTTAAATAAAGGAAAAAAAAAGAAAGAAAGTTTCCATTTTTTATCAATTACCATTTTATCAGTGACAAGTTTAAAAAAGTATTGCAAATTCGTACATATTGGTTTATTAACCAATGAAAATATAAAAACTGCATGTAATGTGTTTCTATATATATATGCTATTTAACAACAACAAAAATGGATGTACATGCACTACAAACGCATGTCTGCGGTCGTGTATAACTGTGTACGGTCTATGTATATAGTGTCTGATTTCTTGACTGTATAGAGATTAATGACTCTACCAATAAACACCAAGGCTATATCGAATTCAACAATGTCATTATGCTCGTCTCAATAAAGTTACTTTGTTCAAAAGCAACGTTAAGCCTATTTGATAAACCAATTTTCACAAAATCCTCTTTTTTCAATGAAGTATAAATTCGAAATTTCTAATTGTATGGAGGGAGCAGTACCGGGAAGAGAAAAATGTGACGTCATTAGAAAAGTTCTTGAGGCACCGATGAACATCTTAGTGTTATGAAGCCTTACGTACATAGTAAAACAATAAATTAACTAGTTAGTTGAATAAATTTAGCCTACTTGTATATATAAGGTACATTGTATGTTTTGTAGAAAGAAAACAGTCGGAAAAAGGAGATACAAAGCAGAATTCTCGAAACAAGCTAGCTCGTCTAAGTGCTTCACACCGTTAGAATAAATTATCAAATAAGACAGATTAATTATTAAATCGAGAAGACAAACATGGAGTTTCATCAACCATCGCGCGCTTCCTTTTGATATTTGGTTTGCATTTTTATAGTTTTTATCCATTATTTTCTCTGATTATTAGTGTGTAGATGCATAAAATTAGGCACTATTAGCATAATTAATTTGCACCTTACTACAGATATATGTCATCATTATTTCCAAGAACCATCAACCATATTTATCCATTATTTTCTCTGATTATTATTAACCCAATAAAAAATCAAGAGTATTAAACCAAGGTCGAAGAATGTGGATATTAAAAGGAAATATGAGAACGAGATTAAAAAACGTAAGCATCATGTGATTATTGAATAAGAAGTCGTGAAATTTGTTGAAAAACCAAGCCATTGCTATCATTAGGACCTAAGATATTAACATTTTGAGATCAAAACACAAATACATTCTTTGAATAAAAAAAGTTGTGTGTATTTGTATGTTGGAACTTGAGAATGTTATTTGCTTGTTAAAAAAAAAAAAATTCAAGAAAAGGCTCTCACAAAACAAATTTTCCTTTCCTTGTACTTCTGGCACTGATCATGGGCAATCTCCTGGAAACATAAAAAAAAAAAAACACAAAACCAAGTTTAACTACTGGAGAATCGAATCGGAAATGGGTTATTATAATGTCTTCATTGAGTTTTGTCTTTACGTATTTCCATCCAACGATTGATCCACGACCAACACAGAAAATGTCAGTTACGATATAAAGTCCAGTCATCATCTTTTTATTTTGCTTTCTTTCCAATTGAAATGTTTACAGTAGAAAAAGATCATCACCAACAAATAAAAAAAAAACGTAATTCGAAGTATAGAGAACAGACTAATAGCTTAGAGTTGATTATACATACAATCTTTTATTCCCGACCTCTCTCTAACTCTAGAAAGAGAAAACTCTCCCTACTCTTTCTGAAACTTTTCTTTCGTGTTCTTCGTTTTTTTTTGGCCGGTGCCGCGTTAATCCGACGTCGGTACCGTGCTGTAAATGCTTCTCGAAAAATAAATTCCGGCAAGTCCGGATCTGTGTAAAATAGTTTTGTTTTGTTTCTAGTTTTTCCGGCGTTTGTTCGGATCTTTTGTTTCTGTTATTGGATAATAATTTCTGGCAAAGACTGGTACAAAATTCCGACATGATCGGATTTGTTTTGCCCTATCTTCTCCGATGTTTGGTTCCTCTTATAAATGAGGCGGTGCTTCAGATCCAGTGGTGGGAGTTGTGATTTCACTTCCATCAAATGTTAGTATCATCTTCTCTTGACTGGAAGATAGTTCTTCCCTGAATCCCTATGTTCGCCTTCAAGGTAAAGAGATGGGTTTTGAGATAAAGATGGTCGGTGGTGGAGAATAATGATGAAGTTAATTTTTCAACATCAACAATCGCTGGATTTTAATGGAGAAGAAAGAATTTGGCAAAGGAGCAGCAGTTAAAAGGAGGATGTGAATCCGATTGGAGTTTATTCAGAAGACTCTTCGGATATCGGCTGTTAGGCGAAGCTCTGAACGGCGATGAGATCGGCGGCATCTTCTCACCGGCAGTCAACATTCAACCCAAGAGTTCCACGTGTATTCCACGTGTTGTTTAATACTCAAACCTTATCTCATAGGTTTTGGATATTATTTGGGCTTATTTTTGTATCTTGGGCTTTTGTAATTGCTGTAACTTGCCTTTGGGCGTTCGATATAATCGAATTGGACGACAAAAAAAAAAAAAAAAAGAGTTGATTAGAAGAAATCGGAAAACTTACACTTTATTGAAGAGATAGGCTTGTCCATACTTGCATTAAAAATTCTGCGCACAAGACAAAGTCAAAGTCACGACTATAAATTATAAGTTCTTGATAAATTAGTAGACATCTAAAAACGAGTTAGAATAATGCAGTGTTTTTGTGAAACTTTAATATGAAATTTATGATAATATATCAGGATGCAAAAAATCAAGGGGCATGTCTTAGGGTGAGTGAAAATTCAAACCTTCTATGACTAGTCAATTTCCAACTTACTGCTACATAGTACATACAAGAACCTTTAGTGCCAAAATAAATGTGTAAATTAATTTATAACGTTGAATATCTATAAAGTCACAGCTATTTCTGACCGAGTCTGATTTTTATTAGTGGTAGTAGAAGAGATATTAGATAATTAAACAAAAACATATAATACTATATTTGAAATTTAAGCAAACTCTTAATAATTTCTGAAACAGAAAACAAAGACAATACTTTGACTCTTACGTGCCTAACGTATATCATAAGGCCATCTCCAACGCGGTATCATCCGCGGTACGTCAGTGAGCCCGAAGGGGTAGAATGCAAATAAAAAAACTTTGGGCCGAATTATTTGGACGTACCGTCTCTTCCAGATGAGACCGACGAGCCCGTCTCAAACCAGTATCGTTGATGACGTGGCGCAAGGTGAGTGGCTGGAATGGAAAGGAAAGTGGTGTGTTTTTCGTTTTTTTTTTGTCTGTCTCATTTTGTTTTCGAGAGAGAAATCGAGTGGTTTTCCCTGAGTATTTTTCTGTCACCGACGAATCGGTTTACCGGCGATTTTGACTGCTGAGACGACGAAGCTGATTCATCGTGACGTCGCGACGAGCAAGGTAAAGATTCACGACCTCGTAACAATAGCTTCGTGGGTTTATCGATGAACTTTAGGGTGACTCTGAAATTTGGGAAAAATTTTGTGTGTTTGTATTTTTTGGGTTTCATTTGCGTTTTATTACACTTGCATTGCGGTTTATTTTTGGGTTTCATTTGCGGTTTCTTCCATTTGCCTCAGTTGGGTTTAGGTTTAGAGGGTATATCGATGATGCTTCATATATGTAGTATGATTTGCTGTTTGAAATATGTGATCTGATTTGATTTATGTGAGTGGCATCATTCGGGTTTAGGTTTAGGTGATGTCGAACTGAATTTGTTGTACTTTAGGTGTATACTCAATCGTTGTAGTTGTTTGCCATTCTGTTTGTATTGTTCTGATCCCCTTCTGTTATGGGCAGAGGATGCAAAGCAATTCAGTCCTGTACTGGGAGAAATCCCTCATGATTCAGAAAAAGGAAATTGAGCGGGTTAAGAGCCCGCTATACAGTACAGGTATTTTGTTGTAGTATTATGCTTAAATGTGTTGTTTCCGAGTTTAGACTTGTAATCTACTAATTTTTTTTCTTTAACACATTTGATTAGGCCCCGTTGATGGAGATATCAGTTATTGGAAGGCTAAGCTTTTTGGACCAGCAGGATCTCCGTACGAGAACAGAGTCTTCCTAATTGACATGCACTTTCCTCCCCTTTACCCGTTCAAGCCACCCAAGGTCTTCTTCAGAACAAAGGTCTTTCACCCCAACGTAGGAGTGTGGAGATATCTTCCTACGGATGCTCAGTACCGACTACTACTCGCCCAGTAGCACCATCCATAAGGTTCTCACAAAAATTCATGAGATGCTGAGCAACCCAGCATTGGGTGAGGGAGAGTACTACGATGAAAATATAGCGAAGATGTACAAGGAAGACAGGTCGGGATTTGATGGAAGAGCTCGGGAATGGACGTTGGAGCACGCTAGTGCTAGGATTTAGTTCATCTATCTTTATCTTTTATGTTAAAAATTGTAGTTTAAATTATGGTATTTCATGTTCAACATATTTTATAGTTTGACTTTATCAATATTATGGTATTTCATGTTTAACATATGTTCAAAAATTGTATGTTTGAATTTTTTCTTAATTACAAAAAATTAATCTAGATGAACCAACCCTTAAATTGGGGATCAGGGTTGGAGGAGTATAAAACATGGAGCTCTTCCCAATAAAAAAAAATGTTAAACGAAATTAAAAAATGCTAGCATTGGTGATGCTCTAACAATGACAACATATTCTTTGGACGTGAAATTTTTAAAATAAATTCCTTTCATATGGGAGATTTGACTGTTTGTGTAACTTAGCAACAAGTTTCTTACATTGTTTCTGGTTAGTAACTCAGTACCTATTCAAAATGAGTTATCAATTAATGTATTTCAGTGGGCGTTGCTTGATATATTTCTTTGACACATGCTATAGGATCAATGCAAATGACATGATCTTTTGCATATTTATTTCCGTTATTTGATAACTTTGATCTAGTTTTATGATTTATCTGCAACTAATCATGTTATCGTTTTTTAATTACAAATTTTTTATTTTTGTGAAGATGAATGTCATTATGCATGCTATGCAGCAAAGTTAGTTTAGCAAAAAAAAAAAAAATTAATCGAATGGAATGGCATATAGTTTCCATATAGATTTTCATTTCCATAATACAACAAAAAATCGTAAACAAAAAAAATAACCAAACTGTACAAACAAAACCAAGTTACAAACAGGTTTTTAAAAATCAAACCCTAAACCAAAAAATTAAGTTTTTCTACAACTACAACTAAAAAAATTGCCTTGACCATAAACCGGTCTAATTTGGATATATGATCAACCGGTTTTAAATGCAGATTTGGTGGACCGGTTTTGTTGTTATCCGGATTCAAACATTTGAACAAACATTAATAACACACAGTTATTATATTTTCTTTTAAAAAGAAAAATGCAAAATATGGAGGGAGCTTAACAGTGATGTCACTCTGAGAAGGGAAAAGCAGAGAGAAATTACTTTCTTGGTTCTCTTCAACATTTTCTCAGAAAGTTCTCTCTCTTTGCACTCTCCAGAACCTTTGTTCCTCCGCCGTCGATTCTAGGCTTTCTGGGGTAACTATCGATTTCTCTCTTTCTTCTTGGGAGCATTTTTTGTTTTGTTTAAAAAAGCGAACGACTTTTGGAATGCAGTTTCTCTTACGTTCTTAAGTTTATTTAAGATTGTATTTTTGAAGATCTGTACCTTAGGGTTTATTTGGTCTGTGATTAAGGCACCTTTCTGTTTAGTGATGATTTTGGTTAGTTTAGTTTTGTTTGGAGATGACTTTTGGTTAGAAGAACGCTTAAAGTTTGTTCTTTCCAGCATTTGGTTAGTTTAGTCACTCTGAGAAGGGAAAAGCAGAGAGAAATTACTTTCTTGGTTCTCTTCAACATTTTCTCAGAAAGTTCTCTCTCTTTGCACTCTCCAGAACCTTTGTTCCTCCGCCGTCGATTCTAGGCTTTCTGGGGTAACTATCGATTTCTCTCTTTCTTCTTGGGAGCATTTTTTGTTTTGTTTAAAAAAGCGAACGACTTTTGGAATGCAGTTTCTCTTACGTTCTTAAGTTTATTTAAGATTGTATTTTTGAAGATCTGTACCTTAGGGTTTATTTGGTCTGTGATTAAGGCACCTTTCTGTTTAGTGATGATTTTGGTTAGTTTAGTTTTGTTTGGAGATGACTTTTGGTTAGAAGAACGCTTAAAGTTTGTTCTTTCCAGCATTTGGTTAGTTTAGTCACTCTGAGAAGGGAAAAGCAGAGAGAAATTACTTTCTTGGTTCTCTTCAACATTTTCTCAGAAAGTTCTCTCTCTTTGCACTCTCCAGAACCTTTGTTCCTCCGCCGTCGATTCTAGGCTTTCTGGGGTAACTATCGATTTCTCTCTTTCTTCTTGGGAGCATTTTTTGTTTTGTTTAAAAAAGCGAACGACTTTTGGAATGCAGTTTCTCTTACGTTCTTAAGTTTATTTTAAGATTGTATTTTTGAAGATCTGTACCCTTAGGGTTTATTTGGTCTGTTGATTAAGGCACCTTTCTGTTTAGTGATGATTTTGGTTAGTTTAGTTTTGTTTGGAGATGACTTTTGGTTAGGAGGAATAAAGCTCCAGACTCGCTAAAGGAGACAGAGAGTGCATAGCCCACAAGAGGGAGTTTTGTTCATCTAGTAGAGAATGGGCTCTCTCAACTCTGTGTATCTATGTGAAATGCCAATAAGTTGGTGACTTTATTTAAAGTAAAGACCAAAAAAAGTCTCACTAAGTTTTTTTTTTTTTTTGGATTATAAAAAGGTTTACAAGACTCACTGAGGAGTTTGGGGATCTGCATTTGTTCACCAAGGGCTTGATCCATATGGGGAAACACTACAACGAGAAGAAGGAGAAAGAGAAGAGTGGAAGAGACTTTAGAAGATGTCATCTTAATACTTCCTTTTAGTTTACTGATGAGTGGTGATCAGTGTGACTCATTTGTATGCATTTATATAGAATAGAGAGGTGGAAGTAAGACTTGGATATATAGCATTTATGATTTATCGAGGACTTATCGTCACTTATGAGTCTTGAAGTTTTGGCAGTTTTCGTTTAAGTATCTATCTGGCTCGCCATATTTGATTTAAATGGGTCAAACTTCCCAACTTGCATTATTTTAGCATCACTTATTGACAAATGAATTACCCAAAGTTGCTACACCTGCTTGT